CTCAATTAAGCCAGCAATATTGAAATTGTATGCTGGATTGAAATTCAGCTGATTCAGCAGGTACCAGCCAAATTTTGATCCATGCTTTGGCTGAGTGGTTGTACAGAATTCTGTGTACTGATCAACTTCTGTACAACCACCTTGTCTGATATTTGCCACTCGATCGTCGCTGCACGCTATAGCCAGCAGAACTGATCACTGTATTTTGTCAGCAGGAAAGTCTCCCTGCTGTCAGAATACAAAGGCTCAGCAGGGAGGATTCCCCTATCCACCACAAATGTGTGAATGGGTAATCCTCTATGGGCTGCTTTTAGTTCTTGCTGCTGCCTAAAGTCACCACCAGCCTAATTTTGTAATTGTTACATATCCCATGGAACCTTGCTGCCTGCAAGCAGGGATTGCTGTACTGACTCTTCCTCCATAAACTTCTACACTTCAGCACCTCTGTATTTTAGAAGGCAGACTCTGTCTTGTGGGTTGACACTGATGTGTAGCAGAATTGACAGTGATTACGTGTCACAGGAAGTAAATGCCTGCAGATCTTCACAAAGTTAGTTTACAAACTTCAAGATTGTTCAGATTAGTAGGAGTAGGCTAGAAATAATTGAAATACCATGTGGAAATAAATATGATTATACATTTTTTCATCAAAAATACTTGAAAGTGAAAAAAATTACATTTTTAGTTATGAGTAGCACTGTAACGAATTGAAATCATTCACATGGAATCTATAGAAGAGGACCCTCCATCCATGTCACCCGCTGGGGCTTAATCCTAGAGCAATCAAAATTGTTTTGAGCGATTTGGGTCAGCAGTGTCTTTTTATGTTTTGTTAGTTCATATTTCATTGAAAAATAAAATATGAAATAAATAATAAATATTTTTGAAAGTTAAAAAAAATTTGTATTTTATAATTTTTTTTTTAAAACTAGTCTGCAGGGCATTGCACCTGATGCTATCCGCATATTGCAGGTGCGGTGTCAGGCTCCTGCGCACACTGCCTACAGCTCTTTTGCTCATACCTCTGTACTGGCAGTCATTTTCAGGGCTTTAGGCAGTGTGAATTAACTATCAAGTGTGCTCATCAGCATGTCTGCGGTTAACCCATACTCAAGTTTGTCTGCTGCAGTTGTGGATGAAACTTGTAGTTTTTCATTGAAAAATGTGGATGAATGATGACCCTATGTGGCCGGAACATGTACAGCCGCGACATATTCAAAATATGACAGTGGGTGCAAGTAGAACCACAACCTGCCTACTGTTACAGTGAGGGGCGGAACAAGAACATGTTACATCCTAAATGCAGGTGTAAAATGTTCTAAAAGGTGAACTTTAAAGATGCATGGTTGATTCGTGATCAGATCTGCCTAAGGCTAGGTTCATACCTAATGCAGTTTGCGTTTGATCTGTTTCTGCAGTGCTTTTTGCTGGGCATTTTTGCACATGCGTCTTTTATGCTTTTTAATGCCTTTTGCATTTTTTTCCCAGGAACTTTTGCTGTTCAGATAAAACATCATAAAAAATGCGCTACATGCATTTATGCAGCATCTCCATTGAAGTGTGTTGAACCAAAAATGCAACATTTTGCATTTTAAAAAAAAGTCCCTGACCCTTGCCAAAAAACACACCGGGTGAAAACATGTCCCATAGGAAATCATGTTAAATGGACTAGTACATTTTTGCAAAATGCAAACCACACTGAAAAATGCTTAGTTGTAAACCTAGACTAAGAAAGCCTTTGAGCGTTTATACCCCCTTCCTGCCCAGGCCAGCTTTCAGCAATGTCGAACTTTAAATGGCAATTGCGCGGTCATGCAACACTGCACCCATATGAAATTTTGTATCATTTTTTGCACGCTGTGACAGCGTAAGGAAAGTGCAGCTGATAACCGGCAACTGCATTTACCCGGTGATCTGCTGCGTCATTGGATACAGCTGATCACGTGGTAAAAGGCCGTTGTGATTGGCCTTTTACCACATCACGTGATCAGCTGTGTTTGTAGGACACAGCGATCATGGAGATCGGCGGGGGCACGCAGGAATCCGCGTTCTGGGAGGACGTAATATGACACCCTCGCTGTAACAGTCATTCGTCTATAGTGCGGTTGGCAAGTGGTTATGCAAGGTTAAAAAGTTCTGCCATGTGACCATGCATCTCTTCTTCCAGTTAGTGAGGGGTGGGGTTACAGGACACACAACTGATAGTGTAAAATCATATGGCAATTTTATTCATGAAAAACAGTCCATAAATTACACTCACATTCTGTAGTGTCAAAGCCGACACTAGCTTGAATAGTGTATACAGCACATTCAGTGTCAGCTGATGCCCACAGCTCACAGGGCACAGTGACGTCACCCCAAGGCTCTACCCTACGCATTTCGTCACTTGATGTCCTCATGGATGTAATTTATGGACTTCTTTTTGTTTTTGTTTTTTTTAAATTGCTGTACGATTTTACACTATCAGTTCCCTCTCTTCCTTTTTATGAGCGTGTTTGATGTCAAGAAGATATTAATGTGCATTGAATCTCCTCCTAATTGCCGATCATCAGTCTGCAGAAAGTTGCTCCCAGAGCGAAAGTGTGTGTGCTGGTTTATAATAATTTGACCAGCATGTTGCTCTGGTGAGTTTATTTAATTCATCTGGTGGTGGATTTTTCACGGTTTTATTTCAAGAATTAACAGTTTGGAGCACTGAAATTTAAGACACACCTTTTTTCTATATTAGTTTGCACATTGGAATTTGTGTAGTTTTTTTCATGTATAAATTTTTTTTTTTTTTTTTTTATACCTACTACTACAATACTACTATTGGACATTTTTTTTGATGTTTTGATATTATTGATTTTTTTTTAGAGTATATGTTTTGCTTACTATGATACTGGATAATTCATTTGTTTGATAAAATTGAGTTTCAATGTTTTATTTGTAATTAAGATCATATTTTTGGATTTTGATACACTTTTCACTTTTTTTCTTTTTAATCTATATTTTTTTATATGTTTAATTATTTTTTTTGTGATTTATTTGGTTAGAGCCCTACCTTTTTTTCTATCTTTGTCACTGTACAGAATATTTAAATACTTCTTTCAATGTCTAAACACACAAAAAAGTCCCAGGTGACACTGGTATATCCAGTTTAATTTGTTGCATTTTGTTTTGTTTTTTTTTGTTTTTTTATTAAAGATGTATGTTGTGCTCTTAGTACCTGTGAGCAAAACTTTTATATAAATTTTTTTTTTTCACCTACATTTTCAATTCTACCTTTTGGTTGTTTTCTGTCTATACTTGTAGGCTGACAAGTGCTTTTTAGCTATGATGGTTATTTTTCCATTCTGTAAAATCCCCAGTATTAAAGATTAACTGGAGCTGCAGGCACTTGCACATTTTATGCATTCCATGTTATCATGTTTGCATGACTCAGAAGGCAGGCTTATCTTGATTTGGCTGGAGATTCAGGTTCAAGGCTCCAAATTTATGAATTGTGCAGGGTGTAAATGATTGATCTGGGAGTGAAGCATGCTATTGGTTGTGTTTCTTTGGCAGTATTAAACAAAACTTGAATTTGAATGTTAGGTTGCATAATGGAATTGGAGTGCCCCTTATACAGATGGAGTTCTAGTCTGTTACTGCTTGAATTGTGTCTTTCTAGCACATGTCCAGCAAAACCTGTTAAATCTGACCTTACAGGCAAACCTATAAATATACTTGTGAAATGTATATGGGAACTGGTTTAACTGATAGAAATCTGTAATACTGTGCAGCATTTTTTGTGACCCAGACACTGCTACCAGACATCACAGCTAGGTCCTAGACTGCCAGTGCAGAAGTGCAGTTTGGTCAAAACACTCCAGCTTGCTGTTTTGGCTATGAGGTCAAACCTAATGCTTTCACTCTTGTTAATGAGCCCACTCTTGGCACGTTCACTTCAACAGAGCTCACTGCTGCCAGTCTCTCTCCCACAGGAGGGGCAAAGCAGCAACCAGCTACAAAACAGAATAATAAAGTGGGGTGGCAGTCTCTTTTTAAGGGGAGTTCCCAGTGCTTGTCATAACAAGGCATTTTTATCACGTCATCAGCCATTTTAAGCCGGAAGTTGCACAGTAATTATGTCAGATCAAGTCCAGCAGAGCTGCAGTGTACTTTGTCTGGTTTTGGCAAAGTTGCATTTGATTTGGCATCATCGGTGTGTGATTTCCTGCTGAGTTTGTGATGTATTGTTGTTCTCCCTTTTGGGCATCACCCAGAAATCTAGAGGCAAGGGATTTTTTTTTTACAGATTTAGAGCAGTGACATCTCTGTACATGTCTACAAGTATGTGGACAGCAGAACACCTTGTTACATGTATCGTGGTGTGTTTGGTCAATGCCATGTAAAGTTTCTCCTGAAACACTGAAGTTACTTGGTACATACCCATTTTACGATAATAAGCAACCAAATTGTGGGCAGCTCATGCATACAGATCTGCATAGCAATTGTCTTTCTTGTGAACCAAATCTTCTCAGAGGTATTTTTGTCTGTAGAGGTGCATTGCTTCTGTAACCTGCACGGTGTCCATAACAAACATTGTTTACCATGGAAGTGAATGGTAGCTGTCCAGCCTGATCTAATTAACCTGGGTTCCAAAAACTTGTCTAAAATGTTTTTCAAGAATTGGCTTGTTTTATCAAGGTATACTATATCTGTGGCTTAAACATCATTTCACATCTTTCAGGAATACTTTCTTTTCAATATAATATAATACAGTACAATCTTCGATACAGCTTCAGTACTTCATACTTCAGCACACCAACAATCGTGTTTGGTTTTTCCTGATGTTAGCATATACAATATAGAAATTCTATGTATTTTTTCAGTTTCTATTTCGCTTATTAAAAGGTGCAATTTAAAGCATGATTTGCTCTGTTTCAAAAAAAAGTTAAATTTTTGTTTGTTTACTGCAGATACTGTTGGTCAGCAGCAGTCGTTACCCTGATCAGTGGATTGTACCAGGAGGGGGAATGGAGCCAGAGGAAGAGCCTGGTGGAGCTGCAGTCAGAGAAGTGTATGAAGAGGTAAATGGAGGCTTTTATGTATGCTTTTTATAGAAACCTAGGCTGAAAATAGCCATCATGTTTCTCTCAGCATAGGTATCGTTTTAGACAGCCTTTACTGATGTAGATGTTGTATTTAACTGTTGATTTTTTTTGTGCCACCAGTGTAAGTAAGGAAACATAAAATGGCTTAAAGGATCAGTAAACACAAAACGTTTATCAGTCTTACAGTACAGGACACAAACTTGATATTCATAGACCCTGATTCATACCTTCAGGTAATTGGACACTGGCAAAGCTTTTGAGGACAAGTCCCTTGGGCGTCCCTCATAACCCTACCCCACTCTGTGAGCCCTTCGTTTTATGCTATTCTAGCATGATGGACCTCTTCTCCCTAATGGAGAAATCACTTTTACCTTAACTAGTTTATTATTTTACTTTAGATTCTTCAATCAGCTGTTCATTGTCTTTCAATACAACAATAGAAGAAGTGCATGCAGATCCATTGATTTTGGATACAGTAGAGAGGTATTCAAACACCTGTCAGATATTTTTTTTTTTCTGTCTGCTCCCTTATAAGAGAATCACTTTTTTCCCTGATAATTGTTACTGAAAGTGCAAGAAAATCTCTCAAATTTTTGGGCTGTCACCAGAAAAGGAGTGGAGGAAAAATCTTCCAATGGTGACAACCAGGGATTCATCTACTTTTTGGAGGTATTTTTTTTCTCCCTTCTCCCTTTCTATCAGCAGCTGCTAGATTTATCTGGATTTGTTAGATTATGGATCTCTCTCCAGTCATTGAGCATGATCTACCATTGCTTGATGGCCATGTAAAATTTTAAGTCTCTCCAGTTCAGCCTGTGAGCGCTGATTTGTCTTTCGGAAGTTTCTCCAGTCTTTTTTCAGCTATTGGTAGATTCACACCAGATAGTCTGAAAAGCTCCAGTTAGCCAAGCATTTCATTATGTATAATGGTGGTCTCTCTTTGACAGTCTTGCCGTCAACCATAACTACTGAAAACTGGAGAGTGCAAAATCTGGTGCAGCTGTGCATGGTAGCCAATCAGTTTCTAATTTCAGCTTGCTCAATTCAAGCTTTGACAAAAAATAAAAAATGGAAAGCTGTTTGGTTTCTATGCAGAGCTGCACCATATTTAGCATTCTTCCGTTTTAGCAAATCAACCCCTTGGAGTCAACATCAAGGCTGCATACTTCCATGTACCTATGTTTCCAGAACAAAGTTTCCTACTTTTTTTGCTTTGGGTTTCCTATACCACCAGTTAATTTCCTTCCCCTTCAGCCTCACTTCTGCATTTTAGGTGTTAACCAAGATGCTTGTCCTATTAGCCCTCTTGCATTCTCATGGCATCTATTGGGATACTAAGATAACCTCTGATTGAGGTAACAGTCTATGCAGACTCTGTTAGACAGGGTGGCTTTAGTTCCCCAGAAGTTGCAGCAGTTCAAGTGGATCCTGGACCTTCAGAAATTGTCACAGGAGCCAATTCTTAGTTTGGAGTATCTGGGTCTAGTTCTTGGAGTTTATGCCAGAATTTTTATTCCATTTGAAGAAAATTAAGTCTCTGGTCGTAGATCAAGCTTCTCCATTCAGGAGATACCAGACTCTGCTTCTGCATGAGCCTCCTTTCGAGGCAGTTCCGTTTGCCCAGTTTCACTCAAGACTTCTACAAAGTACAGATTTAGATGTAAAATATATAGACACAGTGCCAATAAATTATATATAAAGCTGCAAACCTAACCATAGAAAAGTTAAGTGACAAAAAATATATAAAGGAATGCGCTAAATACCAAATCACATGAAAATGCAGATAAATACATAAAATAAAAAAATATTTTATAAATGTCCATAATTCATATAGAAGTCCAAACACCAATATAAGTGGAAAAAAAAAAAATCTCTTAAACAAGAAAAAACACTGTTGCAAAAATCCACCACCGAATGAAATGGGTAAACTCACCAGAGCTATTTGCTGATCAAATTATAAATCAGCAAAAATAGCAATTGCTCTGGGAGCGATGATCTGTTGGAGTATCCAGGAGCAATAGACTGCAATCAACCAAATCAGCACACATGGAACAGCCTTAACTGCAAGTGGTCATCTTGCCTTCATAACTTTGAAAATGCTCGAATCAAAGAAGAGTATCATGGTGCAGTATGTTAAAAGAAAGATAATTTTTATTGTAGCCTTAAATATGCACTCACAAGAAAGGTGTCCAACTGACACCAGCAATATCAGTCTCAAAAATCTAAAGCAGGGACGAGCCTCGCTCACCGCAATCACAGCCGACAGTCTCGAGGAGTGTCTTCCACCCCTTGACGTCGGATGACGAAACGCGTAGGGCGGGGCTTAGTGGATGGGACGTCAGGACACTCCTGCCTGCATTTTTACCGTTCTTTCTGCCTGGAAACTGAAAAAATGTCCATGGCGTCCAAAAAGCGTCCCTTTTATGTCAAAAGCGGTTTTAGACCAGCTAGAGAACAGCGATAGTAAATTAGAACTACTTGCAGAATTGAGTGATGATTCGTGGGGAAATTCGTCATCAGACACTGAAAACGATTTTGCGACTTTACTCCGTGATGTGCGAACTTGGTGCTATATTTCATTTCATTGTTTTTGGTTTGATTATATTTAATTTTTTTATTATTTTTTTTTGATTATTAAATTATACTTTATGATTTCGTGTTTCAAATTTTAACATACCCAGGATGTTTACTAGACTCTTGTTCGGATGGATTTCATTGAGTTATTCCTAAAAATTACAGACCTACAATAAAAAAAAATACATATTTCCATGCAAAAAAAGTACCGCTTTGAGCACAGAAATATGGACATAATCAGACCGCTAGGGAGGCTACAAGTCAACAGCTACAATATTTTTATAGCTGCTGACTTTAATTTTTTCTTTTAAACAATGGATATAGAGATATAGATATATATTACACAATACAAACCAGAGAAGAAAATATAAAATTACCACATAGAAATATATAAAATGAAAGATAAAGGCAGACAGTACAGACCGCATACAACTATTCAGCACGTGAATTTAAGAAAGCATCAACCAAATGCCTAGCATATAGTAAAAAACTGAGTACACATTCAATTCCTCAAATTCTTATTACCGTGAAGCAGAAAGAGGTAATTTAGCAGCTGACCTTGTGGATGAGGCCAATGAAACCTAATAGGTCAAGCATCTGAATTACACTCAGCATCACTGCCGACCTGTAAGCGTGCTCCCACACTTACAGGTAGGGGAGTCTGTAGGAGTAAGGGCTTTGCAGAAAGCAATCCTATGGTTGCGCAGCTGTTTGCAAAATGTTGTAATTTTTTTTGTTTGTTTTTGGTAACTTAACTGCTTCCCGACCGCCCTATAGCAGATATACTGCTACAGGGCGGCACGGGTGCGCAAAATCACAATTACACTGCGCCCCTACCCGGAAATACAAAATCACACATATATACACATGTGTGTGTATATGTGTGATTTTGTATTTCCAGGTAGGGGCGCAGTGTAATTACAGTGTAAAGCACAGACACAAGCAAAACGGCACACAGTTAACCCCTTTGATCTCCCCTCATGTTAACCCCTTCCTGCCCAGTGCCCTTAGTACAGTGTCGGTACTTTTTTTTTTTTTTTTAAAGCACGGATTACTGTATTGCTGTCATTGACACCAAGTCAGTTCCCCCCAGTGTCAGAATGCCTGCCGCAGTCCCGCTATAAGTCGCTGATTGCCGCCGTTACTAGCAAAAATTAAAAAAAATTAAAATTCCAGCATCTATACCGCCATTTGTAAAAGCTGTAACTTTCATGTAAACCAATTAATTTACACGTATTGGGTTTTTTTTTTTTTTTTTTTTTTTTAGCAAAGACATGTAGCAGAATACATTTTGGCCTAAATAAATATTACGAATATTTTATTTTTTTTAAAACCTTTTTACTGGACATGTTTAATAGGAAAGTCAAAAATATTGGGGTTTTTTTCCTCAAAATTGTGAGGGTTTTTTTGTTGTTTTTTTTTTTTTTGTTTTTTTTTGTTTTTTATAGCGCAAAAAATAACTGCACAGGCAATCAATTACTGCCAAAAAACTCAATTTGTGGGGGGAAAAAGGACGTAAATTTTATTTGGGTGCAGTGTTGCATGACCGCGCAATTGTCAGTTAAAGTAACGCAGCACCGTAACGCACAAAGGCCTGGTCAGGCAGGGGGGTAAATCCTCAGGAGTGCAAGTGGTTATTATAAACAGGAGCACCAAGGGATACATATGACAAACGCAGTATTACAGGACAACTGTTGACAAATGGGGATTCTCTTGCCAATTTATGGATGTAGGCAAAAAAAGATCCCGTTGGGACCATCTATAATATCCCAGTATGTTCTGATATTGCCATGTCTTATTACTCTAGACAGAGAGAGGTCAGCTTGGACAAAAAAAAACAAAAAATCGGATTCCTCCAGTGTCTACACCCCACTGCTGAGAAGGGAGAGTTGGCAAATATTTGACTGGTTGCTAGCACTAATGGTCCAGATTGACTTCATTACTTTAATTGCTGGACTCTAATCTAGTGTAGTTAGACAAAAGGAACTGGTGATCAGTTAATGAAGATTTATGTCTGGGGACCCAAACATCAGTGTGTGTGTGTGTTTTTGTTTAGGTGGTGTAACAAAGTTTTTTTTAAAATGCCCCAACGATTTGTTAGAGGTTTTCATTTACAGCAATTGACTCATGGGCAACACACCCAAGAAATTATACCTTTTTCAGCATCTGGGCTATTGGAATCTCCCTAAGAAACACTATTGGCATGTAGAAGATTGTGGTCTGTTTCCTTGCAGTGTTATTGGATGCCCAAGAGTACACTATACCTTGTGTTGGTTTTGTATATGTTAAAGTGGCTGTAACCTAAAAAAGAATGCTCCTGTCCCTTTTTAAGGCATGATATATAGCCTAGTGCTTTTACAGTGTTATGTCCCTTTCCATGTTCTACAATACCTGGTTTATCC